GGTCACCCATTTTGAATAATATTGCATGAGTTCCTTGTTTTTCAATGCAGCATAGTATTCCATTGTGCGAATATACCACAGCTTCTCTACCCATTTGTTTGTTGATGGACACTTAGGTTGTTTCCAACTCCTTGCTATTGTAAACAAAGCCGCGATAAATATGGGTATGCATTCATCTACTTGGATGTCGTTTATGGTTTTTTAATATTTTTTAATTCATTTTAATGAAAATTTACAGACTTTGGATTTCCATTCATTCATTGTTAACACTTTTTCCCCTGCCCATCCCTCTCCCACGTCCCCCCACCCTTCTTGTACTGGCATTTGCATTTAATGTTTTAGAAGGTGAAAGAAGTTGTAGGAACTTACATAATGAACAGGATCTTATTGAAGTCCTATTTAGCACAAGTGTAATTGATTGACTTCAATACAATGTAAAATACCTTTTAAGGCAATTAAAGAAAGGAATGGACTCAAAGCTGAGAATACAGACTTTGTAAAAAAGGAAAATTTAAATACGGAAAATGTTTCTAATTGGATAAATTAGTAGAGGTGGCTTAAAATTTTGAAATAATTTCTAGAATGAGGCAATTGACCAATTTCTTCTGATAGAGCAATATCAAGAAATGAGTACATAAGGTAAATTAAGTCAAAGAAATATCTTCCAAGAGGTAATCACCAGTATCACCAGTCCGTTTATTGTACTTTAGTGATGTACGTGTTGTTCCGATACTACAAGCTGTGCCACCAATATTTCAATATTCAGCAAGGTCACCCATGGCAGACAGGTTACAAAGGAGCTTCCTAAGATAAACTTGGAAGACAGGTCTGGTTGGTGAGCTACTTTCAATAATGAGAACTTTGTAGCTCAGAACAAAAAATTGTTCAATGCAGCGAGAAAATGAAGAGTACTGAACAAACCACAGACTGCCAGGAGAACAAATAGATCTATCTTGGAGAGAGTGAAACCAAGTTTCTCATTGGAGGCAAGGGTTTTGAAGTTCTGTCTCACATACTTTGGGCATATGGCCAGGAGGGATCAGTTCTTGGAAAGTTGGAGGGACAACACGGAGAGAAAGACCCTGGATGAGATGTATTGACATGAAAACTAGGGCAATGGGAATAGGTGTGTCAGAGTCAGTGAGATTGGCTCAGGACAGGGCAGCGTTCAGCACTATTGTACATAGAGTCACTGTTAGTCACAGGCAACTCGATGGCACATAAAAGGCACATGATAAACACAATGTAAACTGAAGTTAACTAATAATGAAGACAATGTACGTCTAAACATTGCATTCTGATTATATATATATATATATATATGATAACCATGTTTTGAAGCCAATTAACATCACTGAATTCACAGTATACAACAGCTTGTTGTTGTTATGTGCCATCGAGTTGCTTGCAACTCATAGTGACTCTGTGTACAACAAACAGCTCTAAACTCTGCTCTGTCCTGTTCCAATCACACTGTCTCCGACACACTCATCCCTATTGCCCAGTCACTGAATCAATCCACCTCATAGAGGGCCTTCTCCTCCTGTGCTGTCCCTCCACCCTACCAAGCATGATGTCCCTCTCCAAGGACCGGTCTCTCCTTACAACATGTCCAAATTATGTTAGATAGAGCCTCAGAATCATCCGTCTGGTTTAACCCTTTCCAGGATGAATCTGTTTGTTTTCCTAGCAGTCCATGGTACCCTCAATAGTCTCCAGCACCACAGCTCAAAGGCATCAATTCTCCTTCTATCATCCTTAGTCATTGTCCAACTGTCTGATGCATACAACAACTATCAGTTAAAAAATGTTATTTTGGCATTAAGTAAAAGTGAAAGAGTAGCAACAATGTATTCCTCACATTTGTTGGTGCCACAGTCTAAAGATATTAAAGATAATTTATATAACGGCTGAATTTATTTTAAAGTTTTCTGAATAATTAGTAAAATTGTTAGTAAGATAATTGCAGGTTGTTTAAGAAGTCTACTTGTTTTTAATCTAATAGATTAGAAATGTCCTAGTTAATACATTAATGGGATTAAATTCAGCCATAGTGGCAAACTAGAAATCCATAATGTAGACAGGATCTTCAAGAATTCTGGTCCCACAGTATAGTAAGCAAATAGGTAAACTTCAAACAAAATAAACTAAGGCAAGACTGTATGGGTTAAAATGTGTAACTCATTTATTAAAAACCTATTGATAAAATACGGTATGGAAACTTGCAATTTATAGCTGAATTCTCCCAAATACTTTCAATGATTGACCAAAAGATTAAGAATCAATTGCTAAACTGGCATTTATCTCAAAGTAACTTTTTAAAAGCCATAATTCCTGTTTTTCACATAATTCAGAAATAGTCCAGAGTAATTAAATTACCTAAATTTTACTTATTGCTTTATTAGATTAAATTACCAATAATTTATCTGGGAGTGATATACCATGGTTGCTTTATTCCATATAAGCTAGCTTGAATGAGTTAGTCTTCAGGGAATTCTGACATAGGCTTATTATTTTATAAGTAAGAGAAAGGAAAGTATTTTCCCAAATTCTTGAGCATAGTTTCAGCATAAAGTTCTGTTCTTGATTATCCAGTTTAAAAAACACTAAGAAACAGCTATCCTGGAAAAACCGTGCTACCAATCTTGTGAACTCTAGCCTCTCTTGATTAAATTGCACACTTTATATAAATATATTTCATCCTATCAACTAAATGTATAAAATAAACAAAATTAGAAAACGTGAAGTTTTTACTCGTGATATATTATTCATATTAAATTTAATATCATAGTAAAGAATGCTATAGTTCTTTTTTATTAGAGTCTTTAAAAGATCATGAACTAGAATTTTATGATTAAAGAGAGATTTCATGCTTGTGGATTTGCTATTTCACTAACATTTTAATTTTTATATTTATATTTACAGTTGTTGAAGTTTATACTCCTTTGAAAGAAAAAATGTTTTCACCTATCAAATACTGTGCAATAGACTATTTATACGAGGTAAAATGTTATTGGCTTACTCTTTATTTACTAAGAATGCAAAAATGTAGAAATGGCATATTACATTGTGGTATTAAAGATTTATTGTTCAAAATGGCTTCCCTAACTATTTGACATTTTTACTTTGCCATGTGGAATAAGAAAGATGATCTGACAGAGTAAAATTATCAAACAGTATCAGATATTACATGCAAGCAAAATTCTGCTGAAGATTATCCATAAACAACTGGAACAACACAGAACTACCTGAAGTGCAGGCTGGATTTAGAAGAGGCCATGGCATTAGGGATATTATAGCTAATGTCAAATGGATCTTGCCTGAAAGCAGAGAGTACCAGAGGAATGTCTGTCTATCTGTGCTTCATTGACTATGCAAAGGCATTTGACTGCCTGGATCACAGCAAACTGTGGCTGACTCTGCAAAGAATGGGTATCCCAGAACACTTAATTGTGCTTATGTGAAACCCATACGTGGACCAAGTGGCAGTCATCAGAATTGATGCCTTTGAACTTTGGTGCTGAAGAAGAGTGTTGAATATACCATGGACTGCTAGGAGAACAAACAAGTTTGTCCTGGAGAGGGTGAAATCAGTCTGCTCCTTGGAAGCAAGGATTCTGAAGCTTTGTTGGACCTACTTTGGACATGTTGCAAGGCGAGATCAGTCCTTGGAGAGGAACATCATGCTTGGGAGGGTGAAGGGACAGCACAGCAGAGGAAGACCCTTGATGAGATGGATTGAGGCAGTCACTGGGTTAATGGGGATAGGTGTGTCAGAGACAGTAAGATTGGCAAGGGATAGTGCAGGGTTTAGGGCTGTTGTACATAAGGTCCCTATGAATTACAGGTGACTCTATGGCACATAACAACAACAATGTGGAATAATGGAATAGTGTGTGTTATCCTATTGTGGAATAATGGAATAGTGTGTGTTATCCTATCCAGAAGGGGATTGTCTTGCCTTTAAATTGAGCAGGTTCAGCAGCAGGGGCGGAAAAAAACAACCCAAAGCAACATAACAAAAAGCACCACCAGCAAAAAAGAAACAAGAAGGTAATGCATCCTTCAGGACCAGAGATTCTTGCACTAGCCAAACTAGGACCTACAGGAGTAACATTCATAGCAGCCATAGTGGCAAACTAGAGACATGATGCAGACTGAGTGGACCTTGGGACTGCTACACCACGAACAAGAGCTAAGGGTCTTTCTTTGCCTAGGTTTATTGGAGGACTATGGTGAAGGAGAGCCATAATTGGCAGAACTGAGAATTTTGTAACACTAGCCTAAAGCTGCAAGGCTCAGGGCTGAGGTGCCTGCAAACACATTTCCGAAGGTACCTGACTGAGTGTATTCTTCTACTAAACTGAATTGTAGCCCTTTTGACTTCCCTAATATGGTTGTATGTGGTGTGAGCTATTGCATCAGATTTTAGAGCAATCAACGCAGAAAGATTGGTGTTGGAGAGAATAGAAAGAGGTACAGAAGCAAGAGAGACATGTCTGACTTCATGGGAATTTGTTTTGTGTTGTTGATGAGTAGTTCCCCTTCATAAACTGGTAAAAGTCAGATATGGCCATCCCCATGTGACCCTTGCTCTTTTTATACACATATTATTAAATTTAAAGAGCATCATTGTTAAATAGTTTATATAGTGAGATATCATTTTTTTTGGCAATCCTACAAACACCTGCACACCTATTATACTATTAATTTTTTAAAAGCACACTGCTAAAATAGTATGTAAATAGTGAAATAAACCCCCTTTTGTTTTGTCAGTCACCTCACATATTTTAGCCTAACCTAGAAAAAAAATCTAAGAAAATACACAAGCTGTTACTGAATGTCTCTAGAGGATCAACAATCTTCATTTATTTAGTTTTATAATTCTGTTATTTGATATTTTATAATAGAATTATGTTGCTTCTAAAGAAAAATCTTATAAGCTTAAAAATAGTAATTTAAAAGGAGCAAGACCCCCAACATCAATCTTACTGCTCTGCTGGGTCCAAATTACATTTCAGTAGCTCACAGAGCACACAGAACCATATTAGGGAAGTCAAAAGACTATAATTTAGGTTTGTAGCAAGATGCAATCAATCAGGACAACTTCTGAAATGTACTTACAGGCATCTCAGCCTTGAGCCTCCTGGCTATAGGCCAGTGTTACAAAGCTCTTATTGTTCTTGAGTACCTTCAAGTCAGAACCATCCCATAGCTGACCCTCCAGCGGGTTTTCAGGGGCATTTAATTGCACAGGAGAAGATTGCCCAAACTTCTTCTGGGGAGCAGCTAGCAGGTTCAAACCATGTGCCTTTGAGGTTGAAGCACATTTTCTTACCACTAGGCCGCCAGAGTGCCCTATAAAGCTCTTAGTCTTGTGAATTATGGCTTTCCCACCTGCTCCCCAGTCCTCTAAGAAACTTAGGCAAAGGGTCATAGCTCTAATTCTGTTGAGTAATAGTCCTAGGGTCAGCTCTGTGTCATGTCAGATGTCTGGTTCTCTCCTCTTGCTACTCCTGTAAGTCTGAGTCGTTCAAGAATCTGTGGCCCCCACTGGATTCATGCTTCTTTACTGATGGTGAGATTCTCAAAATTTCCTGCTGAGACTGCTAATTTAGTAGTAGAACTAGCTAATCCTCTTGTGTATAGACTAACGTACCCTGGTGGCATACATATCACCACCCATCTACATGGCACCATCAAAGTCAGTGGTGAGGAATGCCATTTTGGACATTAAACCTTTGAACCACAGATTACCCACTGACTTCTCTAGCCATTAACATTCATATTTGAATAATTAACTTCCTCCTTATAATGTACAGTGTAACTATGTTTGTGAACGCCTATAAGCCAGCCACATCACTTTTTATGCTTTAATTTCCCCATTTTAGAGAGCCAATTTCTAATTTACCCATCCCTCTCAAACCAGTATTCTAGATACAAGCATGTTCCTTTCTTTGAAGAATCTACTATTTCAGTTAGAAATTTTAGTATCTACATCCATAATCAAAGTCTAGTCAGGAACAAGCTATTAGGTTACAGCAATCAACATGAGCTCACAGCATGAAATATCTTCATCTGCTTGGGTTCTGATCGACTCATCCTCAGTCATCTATGGCTAGGTTCAAATGATCATCAACCACAACCTCAGGAGTCCACATTTTTTCCTATGTTTCAGACCAGCTTGTTCCTTCACTTAGCCTTAGCCAGGGAGCCACATCAACAATCAGGAGTTCTCATGATTCTCTGTCCCTAAAGCCAACAACTCTTCTTTGCTTATCCATACATCTGTGCATGGTAGGTTAGCAGTACCAATGGAACACGTCCAAGCTCAACTTGTCTCTTCATTGCTGTGTGCCCTCCTACTTCCACTCACAAGTGAACCCAAGTGGTCATCATGAGTGAGCATACTTGCCATATCCCTTTAACCTCAAGTCCTGGAAGGGGACTCTGAGAGATACCAACCTTGCCTTGCCTCAGAAGCCAAGCTGCCTATTGTAGTTTTTAAAAGTTAAAGTTTGCTAGGTTTTTTAAGGATCTTTTCCTCTTTATTCCTGCTTCCCTTTCTTCCAAAATTAAAGTCTCTTTAACCAAAAGTAAAAACAAAAAGTCCAAGGAGGGTCTACAAATCCATTCAAATGCAAATCTCCTCAGAGTATTGAGTGGGTCTTCATCTTCTCCAGGCTAAGTCCTGTGCCATCTCCAATTTCTGCTACTTTCAGCAAACGTTTTTCAGAGCAGTTTTTCCCTTTTATTGTATTTGAATTACTGACCAAAGGCAAACTTACAGGATTTCCATAATCTACAATGTATCCAAATGTTATAATGTCCAATATTCATTTTTATAATATATCTTAACATTACTATATAGAAGAAACAGAAACAACAAAATTCATGGAAGTTAAATCAACAAAACTCTTAACACATAAACCTTTAAAGAAATTATCAATTTCATCAGCATTCTGCACCTTTAATATGTATATAGCCTGAGGCCTCTGCCATTTACCTCAGACCAAAAGCAGTTTCAACTTTTCTTTCCATCTTAGTAGCAAGAAAAGTAGCATTTTAACTATATTTCCCAAACTCTTAACATCTTACTCTTACAAAATCCCAGACTTCTATGACTCTGAAGCCACTGCAATGAGCCTCCCTTCTGACACCAACTACAAAAGGTGCAAAGGCTATGTGGGAATGTCTATATCTGACCTTTATCAACTTCACAAGGGGGAGCAGCCCCTATCAATAACATCCACAAAACAAAGCCAATTCTCATGAGGTCAAACATGTTCCCTACACTTCACTTCTTTCTGCTCATCTCAACATCAATCTTATTGCTCTGCTGGGTACAAAATCTGCTACAAGAGTTCACAGACCACACAGAACCATATTAGGGAAGTCAAAAGGTTAAAATTCAGATTAGCAGCAAGATACCATCACTCAGTCAAGACAGCTTCCAAAATGTGCTCACAGGCACAAAGACACTCACTTGCTTTAGGCCAGTTATAAAGCTTAGTCCTGCTAAGTATGGCTCTTCCCTCCATCCCCCAGCCTCCAGCATACTTGAGCAAAGGCTTCTAGCTCCAGTTCCATGGGGTAACCGACTCAATGTCAGCTCTGTCTTATATCAAGTCTCTGGTTCTTTGTTGCTCCTGTAAGTCTAACTGGCAAAAGAATCTCTGGCCCTGAAGGGCCTGTATTGCCTTCCTGCTTCTCTCTTCTGGTGGTGAGATTCTCAAAATCTTCTGAATTGGCCCCATTTTGTGGTGAGATTAGCCAATCCTCTTGTGGCTAGGCTACCACAGCCTAGTCACCACTCATTCACATGGCAAAGTCAAAGTCAATGGCAAGGAAAACCATTTTGAACAATAAATCCTTAGCACCACATTTTACTATTCTGAATATTAATACATAGGTGGTTTGTTGATTATGTCAAAACTACCCGATAGCTGATCCTCCAGTAGGTTTTCAGAGGCAGTAATTGCATGGGAGCTGATTGTCCATCTTTCTCCGGGGGAGAACCATGTACCTTTGCATTGGCAGTGCAGTTCCTTACCACTGAGCCACCAGAGCAGCTTTCTGATACATAGATATTATATATTAAAATATTTTTGTCTTATTTTCTTACACAGAATGCAATTCAAAAGAGGTTTTGTAGAGATGCTTTGTTGCTTCAGATCCCTTCATGTTTACATCAGGATGAAAATGATCATGTGAGAACTACTGGTGATCAATGTAGGAAGCCATGGACAAATGGTACCTTTTGCTTTTATTTCTCAAAAAACATGTTTTAAAAATTATAGCTAAAAAATTCTTTTATAGCTAAGCACAGTAAATTATTAAGAAATTATGATATTTTCTCTCATTAAATTTATTTTTATTTATTCAGATCAGAACTAAATTTAATATTTTATTACAACTTAGGTGACAAAGTTAGGAATCGGAAATCTTATATGTGAATGGGGGAAAATGAAAGATAGGTAAATGATAAAACCTTAAAGTATTCTAGCATTGTAATACTTGCTACATTATATTAGGATTTTGTCAGGACTATATAAGGGTTATTGTAAGTTGTAGTGACACTGAATTGAAAAATGATTTAAATATATATATATATATGTATAAAAAGGGTTTTTTTCTTTTATTAAGTCATGGACTTAGAAAAGAACTTCCTTTTAGGAGCCAAGTCAGTTAATGTTTATATATGTATTATGTACCAAGGACTGTTATAGGTGTTGAAGACACAGCTACTAATAAGGTATAGAAAAAGTACTTTTTTCTCAGTAGACCTTAAAGTGCTAAAAGGGATGTAGTAATAAAATCACTAAATATATAAACTTATGTCTGATATTGATAAATGCATAAAACAGATACTATAGTGTAAAGCAATATAAAATTCAGAAGTGGGCAGTGCTGTCTCCTCATATGGTTAAAAAAGGAGGCCTCTGTGAATAGGATGACATTTTAATGATGAGATGACAGGAACCCTGAAAAGATAAGGAAAAGAAAGCCTTTTAAGCAGATGTAGCATTTCTACCTGACTCAGAAATGAGCTTGGTGTATATGAAGGTCAGAATGAATAGTATTGTTGTTGTGTTGTTATGTTATATATATGAAAATCAGAATATTATGCTACTGTAACTGGAAGATAATGAGAAAAGAGAGCTCTGAAAGTTAGACAGTTGCTGAATTAAAGAGTTGTAAGTTGTGGTATGGAATTTTACTTATTTGTTTGCTTATATTATGGCTGATAGGGAAGTAATTGGATAATTTTAAACAAAGGTGTGATGTAATCTGATGCATACTTTAGACCAATCATTCTGGTTGTCTAGATGTTTACACTTTAATTGGGAAGCATGAATAGAATCGGTATATCAATGAGAAAGCATTGTTATGAAGATCTAAAGTTCAGGAGAGTTTGGTCATGGCTGCATTTGCTGGCCTTGCGAAGCCCCTCTTGTCACTGAACCCGCAGGAGCAGGCCAAATTTCAGAAGCAGGTGGTACAGGTCCACCAGCGTGTGACTCAGAAAGCAAAACTTACTCCTGGAGTTGTCTATGTTGGTCACATACCTCAGGGCCTTTTTGAACCCCAGCTCAAGGCACTGTTACGAGACTTAAATTGTCCAGAAGTAAAATGACTGGAAATAGTAAAGGTTATGCCTTTGTGGAGTTTGAGTCTGATGATGTTGCCAAGATCGTTGCTGAAACAATGAACAACTACCTTTTTAGTGAAAGACTCTTGAAGTGTGATTTCATGCCACCTGACAAGGTACATGAAGAACATTTTAAAGATTGGGATGTTCCATTTTCAAAGCCATCAAATCCTGCAGTGAAATGATATAATAAACACCGAACACGTACAGAAAAGCTACAGATGGAAAAGCGATTTAAACACAAAGAAAAATTACTGAGAAAGAAATTAGCCGATAAAGGAATCTATTATAATTTTCCTCCATTGGTTTTACCCAAAAAGGAAAGAAGTGTCACCAACAGTGATCTTCAGAACTGTACAGATTGCCAGGACGCAACACCTGTCTGTACACCATCATTTTTAGAGAGGCAAAAATCTGAAGTGGCTGCACTGAATGATAATGATGAAGATAATGAAATAATTTTCAAACCTGTTGTCAGTGTAAAAGAAGAAACACAAGGAACAGAAACACCTACACATTCAATAAGTAAAAGAAGAAAGAAAAAACAGTAATTTTGAATGTAATATGAGTGTATTTTGAAAAAATGTAGTGGTTTTGTTACTAGGATTAACTCTTGACATTTTACTACATACAGACGTTGGCACAGTATTTAGAGGAAATGCACAGCATTTCCTCAAGTAAAGCAATGTGTTCTGACCTGTTTATCCATGGTGAGATGGAGGGCCTTGTGGTTGGCCAGTGCTATCTCTTGGTTTGCTAGACTTCCTGTTTCCTTTGCAGTAGTCTTATTTATCCTTAGTTACTATTAGTGGCCAGCAGATAAACTTCTAAAGTTATTTCTATGTACATGAAACAAGTAGTTTTTGCCTTTTCAGCTGTTGATTGTGATTCCTTGAAATGTGTTTTTTGGTGAGATAGGTGCTGTCCAATTGGGTTCAATGCATAGCTGTCCTGTATATAACAGAATAAAGTCCTGCACCACCCTCACAATCTCTGCTCTACTTAAACCCACTGAAGTCCATCTTCCTGAGGGTCTTCCTCTTTTTCATTGGCGTTCTGTTTATCCTTTCTTCTGAGAAGCACTGTGACTGCATTTCTACCAGGGCAGATTGATTTATTTTGGTAATCTGTGGCATATTCAATATTCTTCACCAATACTGTAATTCAAAAGCATTAACTACTTTATCTCCCTCATTCATTGTTCAGCTTCCACATGCATATGAAGTGGTAGAAAACACCATGACTTGGTCAGCACACTTTGGTCTTTAAGAGTCACATTTTTGCTCTTTACCACTTTAAAGAGGTCCTTGGTAGCAGATTTTTCTGTCAGTCACTCTTAAATTCCTAAAAACATCTGATGCTCTAAAGGAGTTTTTTCTGGCTAAGAATTAGTAAACCTTTAGTAAAATAAAATACTGTGCTAGATATTCTGATATAAAATACAATTTAATGTAAAGTCCAGCTTAAACGTCAGTGTGTGCGCTAAGTTGTTGGGTGAGTGGAGAACTACTTGTCTTTTTGAACTGTTGGTAAAATTTGTGCATGTTCCTTTGGTTATCTTTGAGGCAAAGTGTAAGGTGAGTGTGTTCACACAAACATATTGTTTGTGTGAAACTGATGTGCTTTATCTTTCAAAATCATGTCTTCCACAAATGTTTTTCTCCAGGAACTAGTCTTCACTGATGATGCATCAAAAACAAGTTAACTTCTGCTGTGATCCATGAGATTTTCTTCAGTGATTTTCAAGAGTATATCCCAAGACCTTTATTTTGAGTGTAATGTCTCAAGAGCTATCATGATCTTGCTCTTAATGAAAACTCCATGTGGTAGAGTTAGGATAGGCTGTAGAGGAGGTCTTTGATTCAACAGTGATGGGTTTAATTAATGCTAACAGATTCTAAAATACTAGTTTAATACAAGAAGTTCTACACTCAATCAGATTAGGCATGTTAGAGCACCTGGCCCAAATTTACGTGCAAGATGAAGTAGTTCTCTAGCCCAAAGGATAGCAGTCTTAAATTATAGACAAGGCTTAACCTGCCTGTTTTTTATTATTGTTAAACTAAGAGTGGTGTTTGCTCATTTACATTGGAAAGAAAAATATTTTGTGACCATAAATAAAAGTTTTTTAAATGCTTGTTTAAAAAAAACCCTGAAGTTCAGACTATAGAAGAATATAGACATAAATGAAAGGGAATAGTAGAGTTGGTTACATGCATCAAGTAACTATGGCTATTAGTAACAACAGATCCAAACTTGCCCTGTATACTCTTCACAATGATCTGAGAAGTAGTTAAATTTGGGGTTATTTTAGCAGTCTAGCCAATTGTTGTTGTTGTTATGTGCTGTCGAGTCGTTTGCGACTCATAGCGACCCTATGTACAACAGCCTTAAACCCTGCTCTATCCTGTGCCAATCACACTGCCTCTGACACACCCATCCTGATTGCCCCAGTCACTGAATCAGTCCACCTCATGGAGAGTCTTCCCCTCCTGTGCCATCCCTCCACCCTCCCAAGCATGATGTCCCTCTCCAAGGACCTGTCTCTCGTTACTACATGTCCAAAGTATGTCACATGAAGCCCCAGAATCCTTGCCTCCAAGGAGCAGCCTGGTTTAACTCTCTCTAGAATGAATCTGTTTGTTTTCTTGGCAGTCCATGGTACATTCAATACTCTTCTCCAGCACCACAGCTCAAAGGCCTCAATTCTCCTTCTGTCCTCCCTAGTCCTTGTCCAACACTCTGATGCATAACAAGTGATTGCAAAGACCATAGCCTGTATCACATACACACTAGTCTCCAGAGTGACACCATTGCTCTTCAGTATCCTGGAGAGGTCCCTACCAGCAGACTTTGCCATCACAATACGTTTTTTGATTTCCTGGCTGCTGGTGCCAAGAGTGTTGACTGTGGAGCCTAGCAAACTAAAGTTGTTAACAATCTCAATCTCTTCACCATCTATCCTGATGCTGCCAATTGGTCCAGTGGTGAGGATCTTTGTCTTCTTGACATTGAGCCTCAATGCATGCTGAAGGCTGCAGTGCTTGACCCTCTGCAGCAAGTGCATCAGGTCCTCCTCAGTTTCAGCAAGCAGGGTTGTATAATCTGCATAACACAGATTGTTGATAGATCTTCCACCAATCCTGACGCTGCACTTCTCCTCATAGAGCCCAGCCTCTTGGATAATCTCTTCTGCATACAGGTTGAAAAGGTATGGAGATAGGACACATCCCTGGCGTACACCTTTCCCAATTTTGAACCATGCAGTGTTTCCCTGCTCTGTTCTGACGACTAATAGTTTGGTCTTTTAATAAAATAAGGAAGAAAGAATGCCTTCTAGGTTTTTGATCTGAGAAAATAGGTAGAAGGCGGAGCCATTTCCTGAGATAGAGAAAAACTTATAGGGAAGCCAATTTGTGGCAAGATTCAAGTTCTGCTTTGGGTATGTAAAAATGCCTGGTAATCAGGAGATGCTTCAATGGAGTGCTATATTAATCTTGACCTCAACTAGTTTTATACTGGAGTCTACAATATATAGATTGCGCATAAAGTCATAGAACTGGATGAAGTCAACAAAAGCATGAATAGAGAACTTACAGTAAAAGACTGAGCTCTGAAGCACTGTAAAAGTTAAAAGTCTGGTAGCTAAAAAGACAGCTAAGATAGGAAAATCAGTTAAGTATAATGCTGTAGAATTTTAAAGAAGGAAAGTTTTCAAGTAGTCAAGTACATTACTGTGTTATTACAGTATTACTGTTGTTTCAGGATGTACCATAAGATCAAGAGCCAATGGCAATAAATAAAGAATTTAAAGCTGAATTGAAGGCATTTAAAAAAAAAAAAAAGAAAATAAGACCCTAGGAATTAGTGGGATACCAATTGACATGTTTCAACTAACAGATGCAGTCCTGGACATACTCACCAGCCTTTGCCAGGAAATTTGGAGGATGATTGCTTGGCCAACTGACTGGAAGAGATCCATATTTGTTCCAAGTCCCAAAAAAGGTGATCCAGCAAAATGTGGAAAATAACAAATAATATCATTACTATCACATACAAGCAAAGTATTACTGAACATCATCTAAATTGTATATTGACAGAAAACTTCTAGTAGTTGAAGATGCAATGTGGAAAATATCAAATAATATCATTACTATCACATACAAGCAAAATGTTATTGAATATCATCTAAATAGTATACTGACAGAGAACTTCTGGTAGTTGAAGATGCATTTAGCCTAGTGGTGACAATCTTTGTTTTCTTGATGTTGAGCTTCAATCCATATTGACCTTCTGCAGCAAGCACTTCAGGTTCTCCTCAGTTTTAGCAAGCAGGGTTGTGTCATGTGCATAATACAGGTTGTTAATGAATCTCCCTCCAATCCTGATGCCACTTTCCCTCTCATACAACACAGCTTCCCAGATGATCTGTTCTGCAACCACATTGAAAAGGTATGGAGACAGAATACATCCCTGGTTGATACCCTTCCTGATTTTGAACCATACAGTGTCTCCTTTCTCTCTTCTGACAACTGCCTCTTGGTTCAAATATAGGTTTTGCATAAGCACAATCAAAAATCTGGGATTCCCATTCTTCTCAGAGTCAGCCACAATTTGTTGTGATCCACACATTCAAAAGCCTTTGCATAGTCAATGAAACACAGATAGACATTTTTCTAGTCATCTCTGCTTTGTTCTATAATTTCTACACTCTGTCAAATCACCTTTTCTGGGGTTAGGAATAAATATGATCTCTTCCAGTCAGTTGGCCAGGTAGTTGTCCTCCAAATTTCTTGGTACAACCTGGCAAGTACATCCAGAGCAACATCTATTTGTTGAAATATGCAAATTAGTATGCCATCAATTCTTGGGCCTTGTTTTTTACCAATTCCTTCAGAGCACCTGGATTTACTCCTTCATCATCATTGCCTCTTAATCATACATTGTTTCATGAAATTTTTCTGTGTCAGTCATTTATTTTTGGTACAGTAACTGTATTTTCTTCCATTGTCTTTTAATGCTTTCTGGATCATTCAATATTCTGCCTATAGCATCCTTAAGTATTACAATTCTAGACTTGATGATCATTTAAATATTTGGAATTAGATATCACCTTGGAAAAAATTACATTTGTGAACAAATAAAGATAATTCCACAAGATAAAATGTAAGTGTTTAGTTTACTTATATTAAGTGTAAAATAACATTTTAGAGGCTAATGTTTACTATGCTTCTTTTTAGTCTCAGCTGATTCAGTTTGTGGAATAAAAGATATCTCATTCTTGGATCAATGGAAAGCAAGTCCAGCTATGAAGGATTTTGTTGAGAAGTATGTGTCTTTAATTTTCCCTTAAGAAGAAATTATTAGTCATTTAAACATATTCTGATTCAGAGAAGCCCAGTTTATTAAATTAAAAAATTTACAAGTAAGGGTAAGAGAATTATCTAGAGGAGCATATATTTATGTATAGAAAACAAGGACAATTTGGCAATGTGTTGTTTTTGTTGTTAACTGCAGTTTAGTTGTTTCCAACTCATAATGACCCTGTGTAGAATAGAACAAAACCTTGCCCAGTGTTTATACAGTTAACCTTAAAATTTCTGTTTTTCAGGAAACTTATTTTGACGTAACTAATAAATAAGTATACAGAGTTGTGGGGTTTTTATTAATTAATATAGTAATTACAACGATGCTTGTGGATACTGGTCCAGATGGTTAAGAAAAGGGAAGTTTGGGGGGTTGTGCTGTTTTGGGGGGTCATTTTTGATGTGTATAATTGCTCTTTTCCTCCCCAAGAGCAAGTATCCCTCAGCCTTTGCTTAGGGTTTAAGTCCACTCAAAGGTGTTGGCTTAAAACCCCACAAGGGTAGGGAGGGAATGCCAGCAGAGGCCTGGAATCCTCCACTCTGGAAATGTGGCTTTGTGATGCTTGTGGATATTGGTCCAGACGGTCAAGGAAAGGGAAGTTTTTGGGTCGTACTGCTTTTTGGAAGAGTGTTGAATATACCATGGACTGCTACGAGAACAAACAGGTTTGTCCTGGAGAGGGTGAAGCCAGAGTGTTCCCTGGAGTCAAGGACTCTGAAGCTTCGTCTGACATATTTTGGGCATGTTGCAAGGAGGGACTGGTCCTTGGAAAGGGACATGATGTTTGGCAGAGTGGAGGGGAAGCGAAGGAGAGGAAGACCTTTGGTGAGATGGATCGACTCTTGTGACTGAAGCAGTGGGAATAAGTGCGTTTGAGATGGCTAGGTTGGCACAGGATAGAACAGCATTTAGGGTCGCTATGAGTCGCAAGTGACTCGATGGCACATAATAACAACAACAACAACAACTGCTTTTGGGGGTTGTTTTTGATGTATATTATTGCTACCCCCAGCCCCTGCCAAGAGCAGGTGTCCCTCAGCCTTTGCCTAGGATTTAAGTCCACTCAAAGGCGTTGGCTTAAAACCCACAGGGGTTTGGCATTAATTTTCAAATGAATATTCCTTAAATGACACAGCAATCTTCTGTCTGTTTCATAGTCTTGTCAAATACCATAATGGTCACCTGTTATGCACAGTTTTTTGGATGAGCTTCCAGATTGATTGATGTTGGGAAGCAGGAGTGGCATCCACTTACTAAAACTGGGTGCCACTGGAAATTCTACAAACTGTTTAAATGTACAGAAATTATTATAGTTATAGAGCAGAGCTATGTACAGAAATTATATTAGTCATAGAAAGAGTTTAGGTCTTTTGTACAAAAATTGCTCAGTCATATTCAACTTCACAACACTTAACCATTGCTAAGTGAAACGAGTGTTGGAGAAACACTATTTCACTTTGTCTGCTGTTAGGGACCTCTCCAAAGTACTGAAGAACAATGGTGTCTCTCTGGAGACTAAGGTGCGTCTGATACAGGTTGTGATCTCTGCTGTCACTTGTTATGCATCAGAGAGTTGAACAATGACTAAGGAGGATAGAAGGAGAATTGATGCCTTTCAGTGTGGTGCTGGAGAAGAGTATTGAGGACTGCTAGGAAAACAAACAGATTCATCCTGGAAAGGGTCAAACCGGGTAGCTCCTTGGAGGCAAGGATTCTGAGGCTCTGTCTAACATACTTTGGACATGTAAGAGGGACCGGTCCTTGGAGGGGGACATCATGCTTGGTAGGGTGGAGGGACGGCACAGGAGGGGAAGGCCCTCTATGAGGTGATTTATTCGGTGACTGTGGTAATCGGGATGGGTGTATTGGAGACAGTGCGATTGGCACAGGACAGAGCAGAGTTTAGGGCTGTTGAGTCACAAGCGACTCGACGGCATATAACAACAACACATCACTCTTTGTGAATGTGCAGTATGAAGTAACCTGGGTTGGTGTGATGCTGAACCTTGTGCCATTGAGGTATCAAATACCAGAATGACTTCCCAATGTGAACAGTGTTTGGTGAAGATCCCAGTTGTAAAACAAATTTGGAAGCAGGAGTGGTATCCACTTCCTAAACCACATGCCTCTTGAAACTCTTTGAACTTGGTGAAATGATGACAGTAATAGAAAGGCAGTAGGTCTTTTATTCACAGAGTCACTATGAGTTACACTCGACCCAATGGCAATCAACATCAACAGTAATTACAACAAAGGTGCATTTTCCAGTAATAGGAAATTGATTAAATATTTTTTTTCTATAATTATATTTTATTAATTTTCATAAACATTTACAGAGATTTTGGG